TTAACATACMTAACTCTACTTACTGTAACCTAACTACTTTGTTTTTATTTAAATATTATTTTGTCATTAAATTGAATTTACTCCTAATTTAAATTATAGAAAATGTCGATGAACAAATACAATGGTTAAATAATTCATGTGACCCTTAGAATTTGGTGCAGAAATATTGGGAAATCACTAGAACTAAACGTTTAAAAGATATACTCAGTTTAAATTCTACGCCGCTACTCTACCTTCTGATTACATGAAAAGTTTTCCAGCTTTAAAAAATCCATCTGGCTATATTCTTGTAAGTATCTTAACTTAATAATATTATAAAATTCAATGACTTCTAATGAATTTTAAAATTGTAGTTAACAGAAGATTTTAATTCCATTTATCCGGAAAAAAAAGAAAACCTTTTTGAAAATTTCCCTGTGTACAAATACAAGATTCTTCAATTAGGACAAAAAATATCTAATACCCTCAAGGATCCTAGTTTAAAGTGTATTATAAAAGACTATCTAGATCTGGCAATAGGTAGTTTTTCTTTTTAAACTTTAATATATTTTGGTTTAACTTATTTTTTTTAAATCATTGTCATTTAATTTATTTTTAGAACCTGGAGAAACTTCATCTATAGCAGCGTTTATCATACTTCCATTGCTCTTCTTTCCTGTTACAACCAAGAGGAAAAAAGGAACACCTGCTTGGAGACCTTCAAAAATTGAATCCAGGGATGGATTCATTACACATATAAAATCAAATTCGGAACTTATTGAGACAATTACAAGACGGAAACAAAAGTATAGTAAATTAGGTATTACCTTACAGCCTTTTATTATAATAGTAGGACCTAGTATTAATGAAATTTCTAAATATTTTGTACTTGTTAACGATACATATTATGTTTTGAACTCAATTTTAACTGCAGTAGATACTTGTTTCAAAATTTTTCATGCTTTAAATTTACTTTATCCAGTAGAAAGATTGCCCGTGTGGAGCTTTATCCAAGAAGGTTTTTATAAAATAAAAACAGCTTATGATTCAGAATATGTTTCTGTTAATTCTCTGCTCAGTGATCTGGAGATTAATGTTAATTGATAACATAAATTACTAACTTTTGAAACAATTACCTGCTTAATACATATTTATTTTTGTTATATCATAATTTCAATATTTCAAACTGTTCAAACTATAAAATTTAAATATAGATAAATATAAATAAGTTTTCATACCCCAAGTTAATTGTTTATTCTATTGAAATATGTCTTTTTGTTTTTTATGTATGGCAAATTTGCCAAATATCTCATTGTTATGTAAACATTTTCATATTAAGCATACCACTCATGATTTTTCTTCGTATAATTGTGCAGAAGTAGGCTGCAGTAGATCTTTTCATTTAGTAAATTCTTTAAAAAAACATCTAGCTACACATACATTAAATGAAAGTACGTTAACTAAGAAAACTGTTTCAACTCATGATGAAACAGTTATAAATTTATCAACAGAAAATATTAATGATAACACAATTTCTATAGATAAGTTTGATACAATTCCATATATACCAGAATCGAGCCCTAATAATAATTGTTCAACTGAAAACAGTATAAGAAAAGTAATAAGTTCCTTATATGCTAATCCCCAAATTCCTCGTAATGTAGTTCAAACAGTAGTTGAAGATATGACAGATATATTTCACAATTTACATCAAACTATAAAGGAAAAATCCAACCAATTACTTTTAAATGATACTATTTCTAATGAATCTTTTGATCATTTTAACAATATTTTAAATGAATTTGAACACCCTTTTAAAGACCTTAACACAGAATACAAAAGAATTAAATATTTTACTGAACTTGGGACATATGTTCCTCCTCGTGAATATGTCGTGGGTGAAAGATTAAATGAAACTAGAAAAAAAAACTCTTTTTCCTTGGTTCCTGTCCATTGCACAGCACAGTTTATTCCGATAAGAAATGTTTTAAAGAATTTTTTCCAAATTAAAAACTTGTTATCGGATACATTAGATTACATGAATGGATGTAAACTTAATGAAAAAATACTTTTAAATTTTTTACAAGGTAGTGTGTGGAAAGATAAAGAGAAATATCATGAATATCAAACTGTGGTTMCAATTTTTTTATTTTTTGATGATTACGAAATTGGCAACCCATTGGGTAGCCATTCTGGTATCCATAAGCTTGGAGCTGTGTACATATCTATTCCTTGTTTACCTCCTCATCATAAATCTTCTTTAAATACAATTTTTTTGGCATTGTTATTTCATTCATCAGATAGGCAAAAGTTTGGAAACAATGTTATATTTAAGCCACTTATTGATGAATTAAATTATTTAAGAAATACAGGCATTGAAATTGAAACAGATGATTTTAAAGTAAATTTAAAATTTGAATTAGGTGTTATAATTGGAGATAACCTTGGAATTCATGGTATCACCGGATTCGTTGAAAGTTTTTCTTCCAACCATCCATGTAGAGTATGCAATATTAGAAAAGAAGAATTGAGAAAACAGTGTTATGCTGATGATAATTTGTTAAGAACGATAGAACAATACAATATTGATGTTAACAAAGGAGATGTTTCAAACAGTGGTATCAAAGAAAAATGTGTCTGGCATGATGTTATAGGATTCAATGTATTAGATCAGGTTGGAGTTGATATTATGCACGATATACTAGAGGGTGTAGGAAAATATGACTTGGCATTTTTAATTTCCTACTATGCCCATGACTTGAAAGTATTTTCATTACAAATACTTAATGAGAGAATAGTGTGTTTTGATTATGGCCCAGACAAAGGAAATAAACCATCTGCATTATGTATCGAACATATTCAGAAAAATAATATAAGGCTTTCTGCATCTGAAATGTTATCATTTATTCGTTATTTTGKAGTTTTGATTGGAGATTTTGTTCCTAAAAACGATCCTGTATGGTGTATTTATATTTTGCTCAGACAAATTATTGATCTTACGACATCTACAACATTACAAAAAGAGTGTTGTACACTAATCCAAACACTTGTTGCAGAACACAATGATCTGTATTTAAAATATAGCAAACAACATCTCAGAGCTAAGTATCATTTTATTTTACATTACCACACAATGATTAAAAAGTTTGGTCCATTAGTAAATTTATGGTGTATGCGCTTTGAAGCAAAGCATAGGATTTCAAAAATATCAGCCAATTCCTCTAGTAATCGACGTAATATTTGTATGAGCTTGGCTATTAGGCAACAACTACTTCTCAATAATCTATTTATTAAGGGAAATTTAGGTAATACTATTGAATCAGGTTCTTCTAACAACCTAATTAGTGACACTGATATCCAAAATATAAAAAGATTTATGGTAATAGATTCTTTAGATTCACTTATTAGTTGTTCTTGGATTTCTATTAAAGGTACTAAGTATCAAACCAAAATGATTCTTACTCTTGATGTAAACCAAAATAGTCTCCCCGAGTTTGGTATCATAAATGATATATATTTTTATAATAATACAGTAGTTGTATTTAAATGTTTAAAATTATTGTAGGCCTTACTTAAAAAATTCTATTTGTATAAGAAGAATTAGTACTTATAACAAAAAAATAGTGTTTTGATAACAAGATTGTTTGGTAAATATTACAAAAGRATTTGTGAACAACTCACAATTGCATACTGATTTCTGACAGTTAAATGCATATTTACAGCAAAATAGTACAGTTACCACTATCAAAATAGTTTACATTAAATACRTTGTAACTTTTACATAATGTTTTGTTGTCACAGAGGCAACCAAAAAAATTGATTGCAGTTATAATATTCTTGCTGAAATTACCAAATATTTTTTTCAGTGTTGGTTTGGTYTACGATAATCGACGCATAGGCGCTTTTCACCACTTCCCTTGTCAACTAGCAGGACCGGGCTGGCGTATGGTGACGTTGAGTCGGAAATGATCCCTGCTGATCTCCAGTTGTTTAATATATCAGCTATCATGCGACGGTCGGACGGCGAAGTACGATAGGGCTTCTGACGTACGGGAAAACTACCTGTTACCTTCGTGATGTCCATCTCAAGCAGGGAGTTGCAGCCAAGTTCAGTCAGAGACTTCGCAAATACATCGCGATACTGGTTAATTAATTGTAACAATTCGTTCCGTTCGGACTTGGATATCTGAGCGCCGAGATTTATATCAAACTGTTCGATCGGCGACGGGAACGGTTGATCAGCGTCAATCAGCGCCGTACGTATTTCGGACGTCTCCACGGCTGCCGTCTCAGATACTACTGACGGGTCRATCGAATTAAATGTTTCGATTATTATCTGATCGCGGAGCTTATAGAAATTTACGTGTGGTAATTCCAACCACGAGCGACCGATAATAACGTCCACAGGTATCGAATCGTCGCTCACCACAAGCATCGGATGATCGGCTCCGAGTCCGAATGAAGAAATAATACGCCCGTCTACTTAAGTTCGAATTAAACATTATCGACTTCTTCTGATAARGACCATAAGGTACACTAACGAAATACGAAGAAAACTAAAAATAACGAAATTAAACTTGTCACGAAACATTCATTTATTGCCACATCTAAACCAGGCCACCAGGGTTGGCAATGGTAACGATAACGTTACAAATATATTATTTTAATTGTAAATAATTGTATTTTGTTTTTGGCTTTTAAATTAAAAAAAAAAAATCAAGTCACGATTTTTAGGATTATCAAGGAGTTAAGATTAATATTTTTTAATGAAATTTCGGGGGTGGAGGGCGGAAGACCCCCCCCCTGAATACGGCCATGATATAGACACACCTAGTTTTAAATATATAATAGCTTTGCTAAAATAATTTTATTACTGTATTTATATTATTTAATTTTAGGTAGGTACTTAAGGAAGCCAGATACCGAAAAATGACTACGAACTTCATGAATTACTGTATTTTAAAATAATCAAAACTACACCAAATATATTAAAATATATTTTATATATTTAATTTATCGATTAGTGAATACGCGTTATGAATAATTACAAATTAATATTTAATTCTTTAAACGCGTCCTTGATAAACGGTAACATTGTTTCACTTGTTGGCCGAATAATAATTTCAGAAACCTRTAAAAAAAAAGTAAATTATTCAAATAAACACGAAAACGTTAACATTTATTAACCTATACAAATTCACGGGAGTTCATGAAATCGTTATTAATTAAAACACTCACAATGTCTAAAAAAGTATAACTAGGTATCAACAACTTTTATTGAATTTTAATTTTAAATATAAAATTATATAAATATATTAAATTCAGAGGTTAAGACATTGCGTGAGATCACCATATGGAAGCCAGACAAAAAATGACTAAGATGACGACCAAGATAACGGCGAATTGACAGAGTTAGAGAAGACCACAAGCTCCTGGAAATAAGAGAAGGAGAACAACTGGCGAAKGATAGGGAGGTATGGAGAGGTGTAGTTGAAGAGGCGATGGACCTACAAGACCAGGAATAAGCCAAAACAAAAAAAAATTAATATATTAAATTAAATTTACGTTAACGTATTGTGGTGCTGCCAAGACATAAACAATTGCATCAACTATATTTGATGGCGTCAATATTGGTGCGCCGGGCATAACATCTTCAACCATTTCGGTATCTACTAACCCCGGACTGATACTCTGTAAAATAATTTAATTGTGTTATTTAAATAATTTAATGTGATTATAATATTATATAATACCGTATTATAATTTATGTAATTGTTTTAATAATTCAATATTTTAAATTATAGTATTTATTAAAAAAAATGAATTACAGTGACTCTGATAGGTAACATATGTAAAGCCAGAAGTTCTCGTAAACTTTCAGTAATTGAAACGTTACTAAACTTGGTTGCACTGTAGACAGACATGTTGGCCATTAACGTTGGTGGATAATGACCAATGTCACTAAAAAAAAAAAAAAAAAACAAAAATATGTAAAAAAGATATTAAAATAAATTACGAATATAGAGGTAAGTGGGCACAAGTGAGTATCGCAGTGAGTGGAGTAGACACCTACTCCACTGACCTAAACTTATAAATAATTATTGACTATTGATTCATTAAAAAATTGATTTTGTATATAATAATACACAAATATTCTGTTGTTGAATAAGAAAATAAAAATATGATTCTTTTCACGTTTTGATGTTTCAAAAAGTTTAAGTAATTTATAAAACCTAACCTAAACAAAAAAGGTTAAAATAATGATTTTTTAAACATAAACATTATTTTTGAGGTAAAGGTAAAAAAATCCAAGTAAAACCATTGTTGAAAGTACAACTCGATAGCGCTCTCCGTCCGTCGACCATTGTCACCGTCATCCCGAAAAACACCGATATAATATTTTTATTTAAACACATAGACACACAAAACACACGGTTTTATACCTATTTCTTTTATGTATGTTTTATTGGTGTATAGATAATATGAATTGTTCCGTTTAATATATATATATATATATATATAAAACACAATACATAAGAAAAAAGATCAAGTTACAAATAGTTTGAGACCCACGGGTTGTCGTGTCGTACACAGGTATACAATTTACACGTTTATTTTAATTATTATTAATTTTTTAATAATTCACTTTATCGGATTAAATTTATGTCTATAACACTAACAAGGAATGTGGCTTTCTATTGGTGAAAACATTTTCAAATTAGGTTTACTAGTTCCAGAGATTACTCTCAATAATTTAAACTAACAGCTCCTCTTTATATAAAAAAAATAATTATAGTATTGATTTAAATATTAAAAAATGTATATTGGATAGTTAAATTTATTGTAATGCAACAAAATGTCATATTCCATTCGATATAATATAATATAATATTAAATAATTTAATTTATTATAGGTACTAAAGGTTTAGCCTTTTATTTGCTTAGAACAATATAAGAAATCAGAAATATTAGTTAAAACTGATTTTTCACATAAAATGTCATCGTCAATTCCCTCCATATTAAAAAAAAAAAGCGGGTAAGTCGTGGATGTCGCTCTGCTGTACAGTAGGTTACTGTAATGGATGGGATTAAATTTGAATGCAATGAAAGGTATCATTGTATACGAAAAACGATTCTGAACGGAGATGATTTGTCAGTCTAGGATATTTAAATATTGTCATATATTCTATTTTGAAACAAATATTTTATTTTTCAATTAAGACGCATTTTGCATAAGGCA